GCTCCAGGAGGTCAGCAACCCATTTCCTCCAAAAAATAGTAATGCAAGTTAATGTTACGAGATCATTAAAGCCCCCATTAGTAGTAATGATAATGGGGATGATTCCGTATCGTAGGAGAGTGCATGGGACGCCGTGGATAAAGGCAAGCAAGCATTACGCGAGACCGCATGATATGACGCGGCGGTTGTTTTATGTGAGTTTAGTGACTTCTTGCGCTGTCTGCTGTGACTTATAGTATTAGAGGTGGGGGAGGAAGAGGGAGGGAGGAAGGAAGGAAGAAAAGAGGAAAAGGGAGGGAGAAGGGGAAGGAAAGGGGGAAAGAGGGATTGGATATGAGAGAGAGAGATAGAAATAGAGAGAAAGAGAAAGGAAGGAAGGAAGAAGAGATGGAGGGAAAACTAAAAGAGCATTGGCATCTAGAAATCTAGAATCTTGAAATTTAGAAAACTCAGAGATGTGAGGACGGAGAGGGGGAGGGGGGGGGGGTGGGGTTAGCTAGGCGACCGACACATGCCCTTAGTCTAAATAATTACAGCCAATTACACAGTCGCCGGCCGTTGTTAATGAAGTCATGATGACCCCCTCCCCCTTCTCTCTCTCTTCTCTCTCTCTCTCCTTTCTTTCTTTCTCTTTCTTTCTTTTCTTTTCTTTCTTTCTTTTCTTCTTTCTTCTTTCTTTTTCGCACTCTCTCTCTCTCTCTCTCTCTCTCTCCTCTCACTCTCACTCTCACTCTCATTCATATCCTGATTTTCTAGTAATAAAGGTCATACACAGAACAAATGTAGATAAAGAACAGTATGAAATACAAAGAAAGGAACAGTAACCAAGGTCGTAGAGTACATGAGAAAAAGTTTTGTTTGTTTACACCGAGGGAATGTCCCTTTGAAACTTTATTCTCTCCTTTCTCGCTATCCCTTCGTTATTTATTTTCCTTTGGTGCTTCCCTCATTCGTTTACTGTGTTAGACATTGGTCTTTTTTTTTGTATTTGTATTTTTATATTTTATCTATTTTTATTTTTTTTTATTTGTTTTTGTTTTTTATTTATATTTATTTTTTTTTTATTTTTTTATTTTATTTTATTTTTTTATTTTTTTTTTTTTTTTTTTTGTCATTTCATTATTGCTGTTTTCTTCATCTGTACGTAAGTAGGCCAGTGCCGGAGATGGAGGCACCCCTGAGATTGCAAAATGAGGCACTCATATTACGCCTGATTGTAAGGCTGTTTAATTGTCTTGTAGTTGCTAATGAGAAGGGGCGGGGAAGTAGTCGAAGGGTTGTGCAACTTGTATATTTCTCTCTCTCTCTCTCTCTCTCTCTCTCTCTCTCTCTCTCTCTCTCTCTCTCTCTCTCTCTCTCTCTCTCTCTTCTCTCTCTCTCTCTTCTCTCTCTCTCCATCATTCTTCCTTTCCATATAATTCCCTCTCTCCTTCTGACTTCTTCTCACATCTTTACCCTCCTTCTCCCTTCTCCTTTCTCTCCGTATCCGACCTTCAACGCTAGTAAATAAAATAAGATTGCTCGTGTCCTTCTAACCCCCCCTCCCCTCTTCCCTTCCTCTCCCTTCCCTCCTTCCCTTTTCCCTCCCCTCCCCCCCTCCCCTTCCTGAAATAAATACTGCTCATCTAATTAGTAAAATTGGAGGAAAAACCAAGGAGAAACTAGATCGCCGTTACAGATTACACGGGCCGACTAAATCCCAACAACACACCCCCTTAATTAATGCTCTATCTCTGGCCTATCTTTTTAATAGACGTCGCGCGGGGTGAGGCTGTGGGCGGGGGGTGGGCGGGAGGGAGGGAGTGGGTGAAGGGATAATGGCGGAAAGACGTTATTTCCCATTTTCTTGCAAGCATTTTCAACGCGGGGGGAGACAGTGATATAGAAAACGAAGGAAGGGAATTTGTCTTTTAAGATGGAAGACGGATAGATGTGTCTTGCAAGACAGAAAGACAGACTGGCAGACAGAAAGGATTAGCAAAAACGAATGAGTGTGTTGCCTGCCAAGGTAGATAGCCAGAGATACCCTTAATCCGGTCACCAATGGTCCAATTTTGGCTACCCGCCTCGCACCCACGGCACGTAATAAGCAGTTAGCATCAAGCCCACGCAATAAGCAGGTCGTTAGGACACCCTGCGGAGAACTTGGAGGGCGCAGTAGCCTCGCCAGGTGGTTCGCTGCGTTTGGTGGGGGCCTTTTTGGCCGGCGGGTGGGTGGAGGTGGGGAAGTGTGTGATTTGTTTTTTTAGATTTCAGGTTTTTGTCTCTCCTCTTGTTCCTTAGCAACGTATTGCAGTTTTCCGGGATGAAAACACGTAGATTTTAAGGATGGGTAAGTATTTTTGGTAACCCCATTTATAATACGTTAGTTTTATGCAGCCAAAGTTTGGGGGAGGAGAGAGAGAGCCCCCCCCCCTCCCCTCCCCATACTAGCGGCGGAGGCCATGTTGGTTCCGACGGGAGGTTAACCGTGATGGAGAGATGTGATTAAACCCAATTA